AGTAATGGGTACATTTAAGCAATAAATACACCTATTGATGTGATTTCATATTTTGCAGTCTGGATGGAGTTTAAACAAGGAAATGAGAATATGTTTCATATTGGATATTTATCTCCTAGCTAGGTTTTGATTGAAAATCAAACAGATAATTTATTACCAAGTGGAATATGGTGTAACCATAGAAACCAAAAATGAGGTAAAAATGTCTGAACTTTACAAAATAATAATGTTGATCTTATTGGCTTGATAGTTCTCCCTGATGTTATAATTGCAAGGTTGTGCTGTTGGCATAAACCTACCACTTGTTTGATCATGGCTATCTAGCAGACATATACAAAGCTCATACAGAGGATGATGAACAGATTTACAGTCAGATTTGTGCATATCTCATATTTGCTGCAGGCTATCAACAGATTTTGGAATCTGAACCAGAAGAATTGGCCATTTAGACAACCCCCTCTCAGGAAAAATAATGTCAAAGGTCAATAGTATCTTGGCATGGGGATAAGGTTTTCTTCAAGAGATAGAGTTAACTTAGGAGTGCTAGATTGGGTGTAGGATTTCTCATTCCATCAAGGGTTGTTTTTAGTGGGGCAGTGTCAGAAACAGCTGTCTACATGCTGATAGGGCATCAGCTTATTCAAACTGAGCCATTCATGAAATATTTTGTAAACCTTGGTTAGAATGTCATCAGTTAAATGAACAGTATTTGTGTTGAATTTCTGGTAGAAGTAGGGACAAGCATGTTTTCATCACATGCAACAAAGGGCTGAATATCTGGTCAAGTTGATCTTTGTAATAAAACAACAGATTACGACAGATGCTGGTGAAAATTAATTTCATTGCAGCAGATGCTCTGATAATATTAATCTAAATGTGCTCAGGTTTGATTTTATTTCCTGGCAGGATATTTCAGTTTCAAAATCTCCCATTATTTTTAGGATTATAATCTGATCAATGTCATTGCTTATGTCTGAGACCCGTGAAGATCCGGGGTAGAATAGGTCTTCAGCAACCCATGCTTGCCACAAAAGGCGACTATGCTTGTCGTAAGAGGTGACTAACGGCATCGGGTGGTCAAGCTCACTGACTTGGTTGATACATGTCATCGGTTCCCAATCGCGCAGATCAATGCTCATGCTGTTGATCACTGGATTGTCTGGTCTAGACTCGATTATTTACAGACCACTGCCATATAGCTGGAATATTGCTGAGTGCGGCGTAAAACTAAACTCACTCACTCACTCACGCTTATTGTCAAGGCTTTATTTTTATTAGCAAGGACAAGACAAATTTAAGTATTGCCAATATATACAGTGTTCACGAATAGCGTCTGATCCTCTGACAAATCCGGCAGATTCACCAACGGTCCGATAGAAGTCTACAACCCCCTGGTCCCAGTGTCTGACTGTATATTTCACAATGATTTTGACTGAAGTTGTTATATGTGACATGTGACACTTGTTGGCTGTTAATAAATCTTATGTTTGTTAATAATTTCAATGCCAGTTATAAGAAATGTTAAATCTGAAATGTGTGTTTAATTTTTTTCTATGGGTCCTGTGAATGTTCAATGGGTCAGACAGACACCTGAAACTTACAGGACCCAATGTCCTGTTACTTTGAAACACCATTCGTGAACACTGTATATATTTGGTTTTAGATATGTTCTTTTTTATATACAACAAGTGTGGTGGTTAAGGATAATGGTGATATTATTGTTCTATTACAGTCATAATTGCCAGGGCCGCTCCAAACTGATGTGGTTTATACTGTTCCAGTTTCATTTTTTAATTAGCTGGTTTATCATCATGTCATTGTAAAGTGATTAAGGCATAACATGGCAATTTATTGTCACCTTCAGTGGAAGGTTGTGGTGTAAATATTGCAAATAATTTCTCACTAACAGGGGACTGTGTTGATTATTTGTATGTGGTACTTCATGAACGATATGAGTATTTCGATATGGTACTTCATCTATGATTCAAGAAATTGTAAATGGAAAGGATAAAAATGCAGTTATTTACTCACTTTTTCCTTTATGGCATATAGTGTAATCAATAGCCAACATCCAGCATTGTTAACACTGGGGTTTTTTAACCAATGATCAGGATTGGTTTCATTTTTTCACAAGATCACAGAGACGTGTGAGTTGGCATGTATTGAATGGTTGATGAGGTTGTGAACAAGGAAATGTCACTAGTCAAAACTGAACTTTGATAACACCTTGATGCATGTCCGTGGGAAGCACCCTAGCTCAGTGGTTGACAGGTAGAGGTCACCATCTGGTTCAGTTCCCTTCACCAGTTACTGATCCATCAAATGCAACCTTTCACCAAGCATCACATTATGTGATACACACATATCTGATAAGATTTATAGTGGTGTCCTACTCAACTTCAACCAACGAGATAGGGAAGTTCCGGGGGATCCCAGTTTCTTTTTTATTCACATGTTATCTCAAAATTTATAATTTTTTCCAACTTTATTATTTCTGCTGAACTTACTTACCGTAGTCTCTGCATTGATATAAGAGGTGTTTGCAATGTGAGCGTTTTCATGAAGAAAATGCTTTCCTCATTGTTTCATGTTGAGGATTGCATGGCTATTGAAACTTCTTTTCAATCAAATTTATTTAAGTTTGGAACAGTCTGTCACTTTCAAGAATTTAGGGTTTGGATAATCATGGAAAACACATGAAACAGACCTGGCTACAGTTATACCACCAGACTTGATAGACTAACATTGCAGTACAGCAGTAATTTGGTATCACCTTGTAGAGATAATCGGTCCATAATACCCAGGTTTTCAAGCAGGAAGGTCAGATGTTACTGTGTATGGTGAGGTTTATTGTGTGTCATCCAACCTTGAAGGGTTATACTGTCAATCACTGACTTGCCTTGCCTTGTCAATTATTGATAAGCTGCTGGGTTACAGCTGGAATACTGCACCATAAATAAACACTCTCTCTCTCACTTATGTTTGTCGTGTTTGTTGATAACACGTACAGTACTTCCAAAGGGAATCCAGATTAGGATAGGTCCCCAGCACCCAGACTAACAACTAGTCTCTAAATGAACATATTTTACTAAAAAAATGTTCATAGTAAAAAAAATATATATATAATGAAAAGGAGCCCTGAGACTTTCTTCATTTTCAGAAGCTGAGGAAATCTAGACTTGCCACATTTTCTAGACTTGCGTGGGCTTTCTTGGATATATTTACTTCAGGGTCTGTACGACAGACTACCCAGCACCCTATGCTTGTAGTTAGTGTTATTTAAATGGACAGGGCTGGTATTGGATATTGAGAATAATATCTGGTTTGTCTGGTCCAGATTTGAATAATTACAGCCAGTTATGTATGTGGAAAAGCTGAGAGGAGCATCAGATGGAAAATAGACAAATGTAGGACATTTTGTTGATGATAGAAGGCACAGGGGCTTTATGATCTCTGGCTGAGTGGCAGGCATTTCGGTTGCACATTGCTTCCCTTCCATGTGAATCCCTAGCCCTCTCTGACCTTGTCCCAAGTAGCTGCTTCTGAGGGTTTGTAATGTCCCAGTCTGTCTGTGTCAAGTATGAGTGACTCATGATTTATAAACACATTCTTGTCCCTACTAATTACTGTATCAATTGCATTATGGGCTGCTTAGGGGCTCTGCTGGCTGCTGGATGGCTCATTCATAGCCAGGCACTGTTGAAGTGTTGGCTTTATCATTTTAGGATTATTGTACTTCAGCCGGTTTTCTCCTCAATGTTTGTGGCATATTTTATCGGTTCTGCTTTTTGAGCAAATAAACAGAGCATGTTAGGGTTGCTGGTGTGATAATATAAGAGATATTGCACACAGTGGCAAACTGCAAAACATATGGAACCTGCAGGGTTGTCATGATGTAATAGGATTATCTGTGTTACCATGGTGAAATATGGGGTAAAAGAGTTTTTATGTTTACATCTTAATCTGAAGTTGAATACGTTAATTTCACCAGTAGTATAAAATAATAGTTCATAGTTGTCATTGAATCAGTGGAGTATATCTAGAGTGTGGAATGAGAAATATTTATGATTTTGTTCCGTTCCACAATCTCTGTGTTTTTAAGATATTTTTGAAAAAATATGGTATGAGAGTGAAGTGAGTGGTTATGTTTTGGTTTGCTATTGTAGGTAGAAAAACATATTTGATGATAGTTTGAGTCCTTTATGCCAGCTAGAAAATTAGTGTCTGACATATTACTCACATAATGCAGCACAATACAATATGTTTACTTTGTGCCCATTTAATGTTACGTTTTTAATTAAGTTTTTCAGTTTAAACTTTGCTGCCCAATACATAGGTTTCAGTATATAGAAAGATGTCAGCAAGCTCTGTTTTTCTCTTTTCAGTGAGTTAGCCATTGTGGCTGCTCGAGCCTCTGTTATGATATACGATGATGCCAACAGGAAGTGGATACCAAGTGGCGCCACCCAGGGGCTGTCAAAAGTTCAGATATACCACCACACCACACAAAACTCCTTCAGGGTTGTGGGGCGCAAACTTCAGGATCATGAGGTGAGTTCAGATCTTTGTTCAGACTGTTAAAACACAGACCACCAGTGCAGATCCTTGTCAACATTGGTCTTCAGCAATGCATACTTGTGCTTGTGCAAGTATCAGTGGGGTAAAGGGTTTGCTCATCACCCTGAAGACATGGGTTCAATTCTTCTTTGGTTGTGAATGTAAAACCTTGAGCAGGTAAAATGCATGGTGTCTGTTGTTTAGTGAACAAGAAACAGAGGCACCAGATATCTACTCCTTTAATCAGTACAGCATCCAAGTGAACCTACAGAATATGTTTCTCTTGGTATTCCAGTAATTTCATCAAGTCTTTCATTCTTGATCCATGTCTCTCTGTTTCAAGATCTGATTATTACTAATCAAAATCTCTTCTTTTCAGGTGGTTATAAACTGTGCCATATTAAAAGGATTAAAATATAACCAGGCTACAGCGACATTTCATCAATGGCGGGACAGCCGGCAAGTTTATGGATTAAATTTTGCCAGCAAAGAAGAAGCAGAACACTTTGCTCATGCTATGATGACAGCATTAGACACATTGAACAGTAAGTTACCAGCATACACAGCTCAGCATGGCATGATGGTTCATGGTTTACACTGTTTTGTCATTGAGTTCAGAAGGTGTCAATTGTCAGTTACATAACCCCAGTTATTTCTGTTTTACATGGTGGCCCTGTGGTCTGAGATGCAGCCACATTCTGGACACGGTTGTGTCCCTTAGAAACCTACCGGGAATGCCCGTATTTAAGCCCTGGGCTTAAATACTGAAAATCATTGTTCTAATGATGACATATTTTTTGAAGCCCAGGGCTTAAGTTCAAAAATGCGCAATATGTTGATAAATAAAAAGAATCGGGTTTTTTTAAAACTCTTTCATCAGGAAACTGGACTATAAATCCAAAATTGAATGACCACGTGGTTCAATTTAACTGCAGCTGCATGCACATCATAGGGGTTAAGATGATCAATTTCTGAAAAATTCCATATTTTAGCCCATGGGCTAAATTTCGATGGGGCCTAAATACGGGAATTCCGGTAGATCTGCTGGTCATGGGTTTGAATCTTTGGTTTGCCCTGATTATGATTCTTGGACAGTCAACACCAGACGTATGTTTGTGGGTTTAACAAAAGTGCTAAATGCCTATGAGCTGTGTGTCATTTTTGGTTTAAATTCTATTTTACAATGTTTAAGATGATTTATCATGACAACAGAAGTACTGATCAAAGTGACATTAGCTCAACCACTCACTGTCTGTGATGGTGAAATGCTTCAAAATAGTTTTGTTGCTCTCTTTTTTTCACACACTGGAGATAAGGCAGGGCATGTTGAACTAGCATCAGAGCTTGTGTTCACAGAAAATACGCTTACAGCAAAATATGTGAGTAGAATATTGATACAATGAAATCTTGAAAATTGTTGAGGGAAAAAGATCAAGTGGGCTTGACTTTGTTGGAAAAGAATGATGATTAGGTATGCATCAAGATATGTTTATAAGTCTATAGATCTACTGCATAGTTGCACTGGCGTGAGATCAACACAAAGCATGACTCACTCACACCATCAACCATGGTTTTCTACACTGGAACTGAACTTACAATGCAAGAACAGCATGTTATGCACCTGTATGTCACGGTCAGTAGATAACCATCCACCTTATTCTCTCAGGTGTGGGTATGAATAAAGCCCACAGAATTACTTCAAGGACAACTCCCTGTGGACTCCCACAGCAACAGACTTGGTGTGTTAATTTGATGGCTGTTTGCTTTGCTTCACCTGTCTGTGTGTAGGCTGATTTTCCCCTGGACCAATAAATAATCCACTGTCTACTATAGCACATGCTATTTCGGAAAGTATCTTCAGCGATTAACGTCAATTTGGTTTAGGTAACCACCACCTTACACTATTGATTTGGAGTTGCAGAAATAGATGCAAGCTATTTCAACAATATTTGGGATGAACATATCCCATTACTTAATATGAAGACCTGAAAACTTCTCAACTTTCTATTGCTGTGTCTGACATGTTTAAATTGATTATTTTCAACATGGTTTTGGAGGGCTCTAATATGCGCTGACAACTGAAAGCATCTCCTACAGGGTTAATTCCTGTAGATTATTTGTGTCATTTATGGTTCTTGCAGAATCAATACCCAAACTTTGAAATTTGTGATTGACGATTTTGCCTGTCTATAAGAAGATCTATTGGGGTGTCAAGTACAAAATCCAGCAGAACTATTGATCCATGGTAAATGCTGTATTTATCGTGATGACTCAAGATAAATATTTGATCTATGAATTTGTAGACAAATATGGATGCGTTTTCGATCCAGGTGAGATAAGCGGCTGTCTCTATGACAGGAGTTGAGTAAGCAATCTAAAACACAATTGACATGGGTTTAGATCTGGAATTTTTCAGGAACCACAATATATAAAACATTATTGTTGATGTGAAATTATGAATCTATCATACGTATCTGTATCTGATTGTAGAAATGCTTGACATTTCCTCTGAAGCATCAATACTACTGTAATGCTTGACTGTATTGAGCTCTCAAGTGATATTTGCCATTTGTTCCATACAAGTGTTTGCCATAGGCCATTTACATTTGCTGACTCAGCAGATCAATTGTTTGGGTTCATCTCGAGGGATACTTTGGAATTATTTGATATTTGGGGGTGTTTGTGTGTCACTGCTTAGCAGTGGTCTTTCAACAATATTGTTTTGGGTTTTTTATATTGACTGTTATGAATAAACAATTTGAGATATGACAAATATATTTACAAGTGTTGGTGAAGTTAATCTTTAAAAGACACCACATGAATCATAATTTCTGTTTAGCCAAAGGTCATGACATTCATCGATAAGCTGTCATCAGGTCATAGCTCCTTTTGAACGTCAGTATTCATTTAGCAATATTGTTTTAAGAGAATTGTTATAATCATATTAGAAAACACTTTTGCTATGACATATTTTTTGTTACGAAGATAATGAATACCAAGATACAAAGGTTTTGGTCCTTTAAATATGTATTTGATGAATCTGTCATCTATTTCATTAGATTTATACTTTAAGCTTTTTTGAAAGTAAAACTGAAATTAGAAAATTTTAGCTAAACTGCTCATTTCTGTCAGTTATGAATACTTATACCCATCAAGACAGCACCAGTATTGTAACAGTGTGGCTTGCTTTTTGTTCCTTCTCTGTCTTTAATAAAACATTACCCAAAGGAAATCGGATAGAAGGTCTCACCATCGCCAGACACAAATAGAAAGGCTAGGTTGTTTGGCTGATTTGATTCAGTGTTTTCATAAGTTGATGAATGTCATGTCCAGTTCCTGCAAAGTGACATCAATTACACATGTCCGACATCTGTCACTCTCCCTATGTCTGGTAGATTGCGAATTATGTCCTCCAGTACACTGTCTTGACAGCCAGGGTCGGTCAATAACTGATCAGCTACTTTATGTGTCCACTGTCAAGGATACATACCTTTTGGCTGAAATATCACAGGAATATTACTGCTAACATCTGTCGAGAAAATTGACTTATGACTGCAAAGTGTTTTGTCAGTGTCAGTGAGCCCTGAAATATGATCATAAAAAATGATGATTCAAAGTAATCTAAATGATACAATTACTTGCATGCTGTTATTCATATTAACATTGGGCTGCACTATATCTTGATGTCAGATTGATAATATGAGAAATGGATTCATGTCAGTTCTAAAAGTTAATGCATTCATATTGCTGCTCTTCACATCATGTTTATATTGGCTAGTGTACAGTGTATCACCCTGTTAGATTTGAATCAGAAACCGCTTCCTAAGATTAAACATGAATTAAAACTGATGGATTAAAATATATACTGATTGGGCAATAAATAGGAATGTTAAAATATATCGGACAATCAAACTGTCATAAATGTTTTCCCTATGATAGTACTTTATGCATAGGAAGTTTAGGATACCATCAGTAGTGTGTGTAATTAGTGATAGTTTCACAAGTTACAATTACTTATAAATAATACATATGTTGTGTGAATTTCAGACCTGCTTCTCTGATTGATTAAAAAGGATTACAACAACTTCAGTTTCAGTAGCAACAGGCAGAAAAATGACAGTCATTGAGATTGTCTCCAATGCTCTGTTCGTTTATAAATAGAATTATCAAGTGTTGTACTTGGTTTGTTACTATCACAATATTGCGATGGTTGACAACTATCACAATATCATAGAATATAATGCTGAAATGTAAATAACCCCAATAGTCACACATAGTAATAAATCTGTATCATGCTGTAAAAATAGTTCGTAATTTACAACAATGTACAATCCATGAGTGTTTATTTTCGAGCTTGTATTTCTAGTTTACTTGGTCTGGTCAGTGATGTTTCTGGACTAAAAGATTAGATTAAAGATGAACTGAAACAGTAAACCATCAATCGTCCCATGAAGGCTGAAAACATAATAGCTGTTACCGTTGTTTCTCAGTACAGAAGAGCTTCTTATTTGGTTGATCTCTACATTCATGTTAGGATCAGTAGATTCTGTTCTGCCCTACACCTACTTACAGTGATCATGGTGTGTCTTTTGGTACTCTTTACCATTAAAAGAGCTTTATCAATCAATGAGTGATTTGATGAAGTGCTAGAGATTGAAACACTACACACTGACATGAAACCATCCCTGAAAGTAGATCAATTGGTGTTTCCTCTTGGAGTCTGGAGCTCCCAGACATGTCCGGACATCAGTCAGTGATCACAGTAATTAGATAAAACAAGACAATGGCAGGGGGGATGGGAGGATGGAGATGGGAGGATGGTTGGGGGATGCCAGGCCAGCTGCTCTCTACTGTTGAATACATTGATATGGGATAACTGAGTTAATCCACAGGCAATCAGCATGGTGGTTATTGCTACAGGAGCTGTGGGAGACTTGCCTGGAAAACCAAGGATCACATTAACCGGGCACCACTGAAACTTTGGACATTTTTCATTTGTTATACTTTACTCTACTTCCTTTTCGAAGAATGTTTAGAGTTGGTTTTCTTTTGCCCAGATGATTCATTGTATCAAATATTAGTTGGTTTTGGATTTCCTCATGGAAATTTCTGAGAGCAGTGTAAAACCATACCCATTCACCTCACTCACTTGCTAAAAGTAAATTGGTTTACCCTCACCATGTCTACCCTGTTTGCCCGGTTCAGTATTTTAGAAACTGATTGTCAGTAATTTCTCTTTCCGATAAACTAAATAATGAATAGTTGGAAATGGGTCATACTTTTGTTTAGTTTCCTAGTTTGTTTGCTGTGTATGGTCCAACAAAACTATGTGTTGCCATATGCTGTGTAGGGTTTATCCTCTTTGTTTGTAGGTATCTATATTATATTCAGTAGACTCATCCAGTGTTATCTGGCCTTTTACATCTAATGGAATCTGTTTCTGCAGATAATGAAGACTGATTTTTTCTCTGACATTATATTTTACATACCCTACTCAAAAGAAGTTAATAACATGCAATTTTCCGATATGACTACAGTTAATCTG